TCAGATTGAACGATTCCCTAGAAATTGGCTTTGCTGAAACCATGGCCTGAGTTTGGCCTGCCGTAGATCAGCGATCTTACAAGGTACATCTAAATTTTTCCCCAAACGATCCGCTATTCAATCGTCTACAGCTGTGCAAAATTTGGCGTGGCTACGCCGCGCCGTTCAGAAACCATTCGGGAAAAGCCCTCGCGGGGGTCAATTTGCCCCCCCCCCCCCACCCGAGCGCGTGATAATGCATTCTGTTTCACTTTAATGGCCTAAAATGTTAAAAAACGAAATATTTTGACAGGTTCCTGATATTACGCCCATGCCAACTTGAAAAAGATGTCTCTGTTTGCTGAAGCATCAGTCACGAACTCAGAAGTTCCATCTTTTGTGAATTGATTTCTTCACTCCCGCACGGTCTTCTTGCGATTAAATTTTTCATTCCCACCCTAGTTCAAAAGCGATTCTAGCTCCCTGCCTGGGCCTGACATCAGCCCCTTGGACTGGGGAAGGGCTCAGTGCGCAGGGGCGAGGCCGGCCGCCTGGTTCTGCTGAAACAGACGCAAGACGCGGACCGGCTTAGCGTCCGGGTTCTTCGCTCAAACAGCACGTCCGCTGAAGAATATATGCATTCAGTTCCAGGGCCATGTGGTCTCGCGTGACGGTAATTCCGGGCACGTCAGATGGCAGATTACCCTCCATTTGCGTCAAGCCTCTGAGCAGGGCGTGCCTAATAGAATTTATGTCGCGGAAACATCTCAAACACTGAACGCTGTCGCCGAGCAAAGCCCGAAGCTGGGCCCCATACAGCTTCATGATGGCTTTATATCGGCGCCTAGCCAGCTCGTAAGTATCTGTGGGCGTTGGTATGCGTCATCCTACCCTGCGCACTTCTCCTCCCGGCCTCCCATTTCTGGACGCGTCGTCGTAAACATGGTCCATTCACTCATTTGATGGGAAGGCGAGCTAACGCCGGCGGCGCTGTGTTACCAAGGCTTCGCTTAATATTTTGCCGCGCCAAGGATTCCTGCGCGTTCGAAGTTCTAAAAATCGCCCTTTTGTAGATAAAGTGCAAATCGACCGACGGACAATGGGTCAAAGCGATTAAATCGGTCATGCCAAGGCATGACCGATGCAATGTTCTGTAATGACATGCGTCTCATCAACGTTCAAACGACTCATTGAGCCCGATTCAACGGCAATGAACACGGTTCCCACTTCGACGACCGTTTCTACTGATTATTTTCAGCCCCTGTTTAGTTTAAACGATGTAATATTCCCAGTAGTGTTAATAAGTGTCCAACGAATCGCTACGTCTGTGGTTAAGACCTTGCCAGCTATGGTCACGGCTATGTATGCCGGGATGTTAATGGAGTGGCCGTGATTTCGGCCATAATGACGGATAGATTCATTGATCGCTCCAGTTACCGCGGCAATCAAAATCAGGAGCATACCGCATCTGCGGTGAAGGTGAACAGTGAGGCATGTTACGCGCACAAACTCAGCAATTACTTCTGTTGTGTGATGTGTGCGGCGAAGGCATTGTAATGGGTTTCTCCTCATTCGACTATCAAGGAAGGCGAGAGAGATGAAAGGCCGGTGCGTAAATTCGTCACTATCAATTGGTAAATAATGGGACGGCACTTCTCACAACGAAGCATCACTGAACGCCAATGAATGGCCACACTGAAACCGGACTGAATGAGTTGTTGTACCGAGCAGCCCCTTAAAACCTTTTTTCACGACAGTTTCTTCAGGTTTTTCAGCACCCACAGAGTGCCTGCGGAGTACGAGACGAGAATTTAACGACGCTTCTCGGCGTTCCGGCTAGTTTTTCGCCCCAGGCCAGTCTTCCGGCTCGCAGGCCGCTGAGGGATGGCCTCAATCTATCGCCGCCCGGCAGATGCCCGCATAGATTATAGCGCGGCGCGGCCGGGGTAGCGGTTGGGGGTGACGGATCGCCGCGGCGCGAGGCTGTCCGGGCGTCTTGAGAGCACCAGTGTTCGCGAGGGTGGAGATCAAGGCTCACGGAGCAGGGGCGGCGGAGATCGGGATCATGGAACAGGGACGGCGGAGATCGGGGGTCACAGAGCGAGGACGGTGGAGATTGGGGGTCATAGAACGAGGACAGTGGAGATTGGGGATCACGGAGCGGGGACGGTGGAGATCGGGGATCACAGAGCGGGGACGAAGGAGATCGGAGATCGGAGGGTGGAGACGAAAGAGATCGTGGATCACAGGGCGGAGACAGTAAAGACCGGGGATCAAGGAGCAGAGACGGAGGAGATCGGGGATAACGGAGCGCGGTCGGCGACTGCAACGCTGCGTTGTGATGCGAACAAGGCGGGAAGCAAGGCAAGGGGAACTCAGACGGCAGTAGCCCTGTCATGGATAGGGTCCACCACTTTGCGGAAAACAATATCACGGTTGGCCAGTGTTTTCGTACATACCACCACCGCAGACACGGTTCATCGTAATCCCAGTAACAGAGGTGGACATGAAATAGTGTTAGTCTAGCTGACAATATTCCTGGAGGTAAGGTAGCTAGTTTCATTCGCGTCGCTGGCGAATTTGGGAATGAGAACGAGTGAGTATACCCACCATTGGTCCGAATTAAGCTAAATACAAAACATAAACCAGCAGGCAGCCACTTTGCTGTGTCTGAGAACTCTGATCATGCCGATTTGACCCTCAGGTCCACCAGACGTCTTTTAAGGTTTCAGATCACACAGTCCTAAGATAGTTGAAACGCTGTCTGGATACCTTACGCGTTTCCGGGGCTCATGTGGACAAAGCCGTGTTCTGAATCAGACTGGGCGCGAAGGATAGCCTAAAGGTGATGGACGGTGAAAAGGTCACTATAGGGTAACCTTGCATCCTAGTCGATTAACTTTGAAAAGGTCATCAACATATGAGAAGTGACCCAAGCATTGGTAGACTGTCACGCTATGGCAATGTCGTGCCCAAAAACACCACTCGTAGATAACAAACGAGTCCTTAACTGTCCTTGTTCTTATGTCCTTAACAAGTGCGGTGTAAAAATGACTTGAAAATCAATGACAATGACAAAATGACAATCAGCTGGGTCTCTACCGCTCTGAGCTTAATGCCGCTCACCTGATCCCAGTAACGCCGAAACGTGCCTTTGAGGAAAGTCATGACTATCGGGTTTAAGTCTCTGTCAGGGATCGGCAAAGACCGGGTACATGGTGCTACCGCTGTTCGCTTAGCACCGTCACCCAACTCGCTGCCCACGACTCCGACGTGACTGCGGATCCAGCACAGGACAACTTTCTTTCCAACCCTATTCACTTCTGTCAGACGGGGCAAAATGTTCTGTATAAGGGGACATGATGGATAAAAATATGTAAGTGCAAAGAGACTGCTCAGTGAATCTGCAAAAATGGCGTGTAAAGATTCCTCACCAACTTTTGTGAAGCACACCGACCTGGTAATCGCCATCAATTCCACTGCGAAAATTGGCCCGCGAGCCGGTAATGAAAATGATCGAGTGGCTGAACCGCGGACGAGAGCACAACCCGCGCCATCCGAAGTTTGAAATCGTCTGCATATGTCAGTGTATCCTTCATATGACGCCAGAAGCTCGAATGCCCTGGTTCTCATTAGGTTTGGCGTGACGTCGTTCTTTCATCTCTGTAAGCGAGGCATCTATTAAGGGTGTGGTCACCCGCCAAGGAGAAGCCACATGGCTTACTTGTTTCTCACACCTCAAAGAGGAATTCCACTGTTCCACAATAGGGTCCTCACTAGGAAACCGAAAGTTTAAGTGTGCTGCTGCGGCCCACCACGAGGGAAACTCACAGTATGCCGAGAAAATGCTACACGATACGTCGGACGTGACGGTAAGTGCCACAACTTCATGGCACAACGCATGCCAAACATTTTTCTCTTCGCCGATAGTGGTGGCCCGCGTGACTCTGCCAAAACGCTGACAGGTGATGTGTGGCACGCCCAGTGACAATACGAAGAGCGGTATGATGGACGGCATCAAGAACACGCTTGTTTGATTCAGACGCGCAATCATACACAAAACATGCATAACCCGGTTTGGAGCGGGCCAGTGAATGATATAAAAGCATAAGCGCGCTTTCGTCCGCCCCAATGTTGTGCGGAACACACGCTTTACAATGTTAAGAGATTTTAGGCGGCGATCGCGAAACATTCTGGGATGTGCATAATATGTAAACCGGCGGTCAAAGTGCATCCCCAGGTACCTGGCCAGCCTCAGGTGGAACAGAGCGACCATAACGGTGGATGCCCAGGTCATCGCATTGATGGCAACTACAAAAATACATTGCGACAGTCTTGTCACCTGTGCATGATGACCCAAACATTCCACTTATAATGACCCGATACTCGGTAATCGGACCACAGCTCGCGAACGTACAATGCAAGGCTTGGAGCGGCGTTTGCACCATCCGCATCACAGCGTTACAACAGCACTAGGCTCGCCTCTCGCAGCAGCCCGACTGGCAGCCGGCAGCCCAGCGCCGGCGCCTGGGGACGCGGCGTGCGGGCTGGGGGCGGCACCGACGCGCCCGCGCCAGACATCGCCTCCCACCAGCGGCGGCCGAGGCGCGCTTCCGGCGATTTATCGTGCTCTATTGGATCGGCCGCCTCCCCTCCGGCCGCCTCGCCACGTAATTGACTGTGGCGGGGTGGGATGGCCTGCCTGCGTCGGCGGAGAGGGCTGGTCAGGCTTAGCGCACGGACCCCGCGGCGCAACGAACCAGCTTCTGACGAGTATCACCGGCCGGCAGAGCACAACAGGCTTATCGGCGCCGAGCAGCGGGCGGCGCGCCCCGACCGAGCCCTCGTAACTCGGCCGCCGCCGCCGCTCCCCTGACGCCGCGTGTCGCAGTCGGCATCGTCGCCAACCAGCGACCGGTGGCTGGCGCCGTTACGTTTTGAGATACAGTCGGCCATACAGTCGGACCCAGTCATGCAGTTGGCACTATTAGACGTTCCAGCGTTGCGAGCGAGCTCAGGTAAGCGGTTTACTGATTGTATTAGTTTTACGTACCTTGGGAGTTCGTACAAGTCCACCCATTCGTTCCATCATTAGCGCGTAGCTTCTGCAGGGTGTGCATCAGCAACATTTATAGCATTTGTCATGGCACAGATAATATGGCAACCTTACTGTGATGGAAGATGTTCGAGGGTAAGCCAATGTTTGCAACGACCAATCTACACCCCGGATGCATGCAAAACACGTGGCCAAACGGTTCCATAACCTCAGTGTATATACATACACATGATTACGTGAAGACCGCATAGTACACGTGGGTATATCCTTAAAAGGCATAATGGCATATATCTCAGCGAGTAAACATGTCGAAAAATGCATAAAACGCATGTGTCCTAGCCATTTCAACAAGCAGGATCGAACTGTACGTGGCCATGCCCACACGAGCCAATTGTGCTGAGATGCGATCCACATCGACATCGTTATACATATTCATGCGTGTACTCGTAACTACCAACACTGCCATGTTTGGCAATCGTGAAGCACCATACCGGCCCTGACAAATACACATTGCACTGGTCACCTTCTCGGCCCCATACGCATGCGCACCAGCCCCCTAGATATACCCAGCGGAAGATACTGCGTCCAACCTGACAGCCTTCCGCTACCCCCGGCATGCTGCCGTCCCCAGCGGCGTCCTCTAGCCGGCCGAGGGTTACATCTACCCCTGGCATGCTGCCGTCCCCAGCGGCGTCCTCTAGCCGGCCGAGGGTCACATCTGCTACCCCTGGCATGCTGCCGTCCCCAGCGGCGTCCTCTAGCCGGCCGAGGGTCACATCTGTCAACCCTGGCATGCTGCCGTCCCCAGCGGCGTCCTCTAGCCGGCCGAGGGTCACATCTGCCAACCCTGGCATGCTGCCGTCCCCAGCGGCGCCTCTGCCCGGCCGGGGGCCTCCTCAGCTGCCCCCGGCGTGCTGCCGTCTGCAGCGGCGCCCTCTGCCCGGTCGGGGGCCTCCTTAGCTGCCCTCGGCGTGCTGCTGTCAGCAGCGGCGCCCTCTGCCCGGCCGGGGGCCTCCTTAGCTGCCCTCGGTGTGCTGCTGTCTGCAGCGGCGCCCTCTGGCCAGTCGGGGTCTCCTTAGCTGCCTTTGGCGTGCTGCGTCCAGTGGCACTCTGCGTTCTGTTTCCACTGCGCGTCCCCGCTGCCGTACACCTCGCGTTTCCAGATGGGCACGCGCGCCTTCAGCTGCTCGATGGCGAAGGCGACCGCCTCCAGCGAGTCGCGGCGGTGGCACGAGCTGACGGCTATAACCACCGACGATTCGCCGACCGGCACCAGGCCCAGCCTGCGTGACAGGGAAGCCGACGGCGGCGGCGGCGGCGTTAGGCGCGGCCAGACGGAGCCATTACGTACGGGGGCGTCGCAAACTAACAAGACCGAGATACACTATACAAGCACCCAGCTGACCTTTTTAAGCACCTTTCAGTTGAGGGCGATACACACCAGTTGCAGTTTAAAACAAAGACGGCCGCCTATATCGAACGGAAGTAAATATCTTTGCCTTCTGATATCACAGCATATGATACACGCGTTTAGGTTTTGATGGTCAACCTGCGACGTCAGCCATACTTCACCAAGACCCAAATATCCAGCCTTTAACTACAAAAACGCGGGCCTTACGGCAATAGGTGGCAACAAAAGCGGATCGCGTAAATATGTAGGCAGCGTCCCTAAACGATCCTACGGAAATACACTACGCTCAGCACTCCGTGCCACCACATCCGTTTCGCCTTCCACTATCCGTCAGCGTACCTGTGATAGATGGCGATATGCTTCACACTCCACTTCTCCCTGAGCGAGAAGCAGACCTTTTTCATCTCGCTGAGAGCCATCTCCTCGTAGGCCTCGTACTCCAGCCGTACCACCTCGCGGTCATCGAACGAGTTGCGAGTTGTACCGCTGAACGTGGAGATGGCGCCACAATCATCGCTGCCCACCTCTCGACAGATCGCGTCCAAAGACAGCGGGTCGGCGGTGAGACGAACAATGTCCATGGCGACAGAGGTCACTATCCTGTGAAGATGGTAAAAATAGATCACTACTGGGAACAAATCTAAATTTCGTTTCCGCATGCGGCCCGTACGCGTGCATGTAGAATATTTAAGTTACGAGTCTTCATAAAACAACACCAGGGTTTCAGACAAATTGCCGATGATGCAATTTATGCCCATATACGATATGCGATATGATATACGATACATATACCATGTAATATACGATATGCCCGATATGCCCACGGAATACCATGCAAACCCCAAACCACTCTGATCAATTTAAACCACACTGGAGCCCAATCGGGGCGAGCCAGATGTCACATTGACATACCTCAGCAGAGAAAGGGATCGAAGGAAAATTCACACCCTCTGTTCCCGGGCCCCTCCCGCTCACCTCCGCTGATGGGCGGGAGGGGTTCAGGATGCTCACCTCCGCTGATGGGCGGGATGACGGCCAGCTCGTCTCCGTCTCGGAGGGTAATGGAGTCGCCGGCGCCCAGGTACTGCTGATTCACCGCCAAAATGAACGTGTCCTGCGGGGGCAGTGGGGCACCGGCGTCAGGATCGCCACCGGCCGGCCGGGGCACCACGCTGCGGAGCTCAATATTCGCACGCCAATGAATGGTGTCATGAGGTCCAATTACCTAACGCTGCCAGGTGCGAACGACGCACGCACAGAGGCCACCTCCGACAGCACAGACACCTGACCTGCAGGACGGCGAGCTGCGGGAAGGCCTTCAGCAGCAGCACCTTCAGCACCGAGAAGCTGCACTCGGCCGGCAAGGAGACGGACGCCTGTGGTGACCCCACCAGCTCCCGGGCTTTGGCGAAGAACCGCAGCGTCACGTCCGCCTCCGCCACGCCCGGCATCCCCTGCCCACCGGCGGGAAGGCGTCACCGGCTGAGCGCACGGAGACGCTGCGCACGGAGTGGGGGAGACGCCACGGACGGAGTGGGGGAGACGCTACGGACGGAGTAGGGGAGACGATACGGACGGAGCGGGAGGAGGCGAACCAGACGGGCAAATCACGCAAGAAGCAGAAGGCGTCACGCACGGAGCGAAGAAAGACGCTACGGGTGGAGCGGAGGAAACGTTACCGAGGAAAAGCTACGGGCGGAGATGCTTCATGCGGGGACATTACAAAATAAAAACGGACGCAAATGTCACATCGACCGTCGCAGCTGGAAACGTTATGGGCCGGGCGGCTGGAGATGTCAAGTACAAAACGACTGCCGACGACGACGACAGCGTCACCGCTGGGAGAAACGGAAACGTGACAAAGGGAGAGACCAAAAGTTTTAAGTACGGAATGGGAGAAGACGCCGCGAACGAGCGAAATGCGACAAGGATGGAACGGGTCGTCACATCCGGCCCTCTTATCTTCCATCTTGCTCCATCATGTATCCTGATTCCCCGCTTGTCCGGGGAGGCTGAGCGCCTCAGCCACGAGTGGGCCGAGAGCCCTGTGGGATGGGGGACCCCGACCGGGTACCCAGCGCACATGTGCGGGTTAAAACTCGGCGGTTGAGCCCTCAGGCACGTGCAGGTCTGCCCCACCGTTAGCCATTTTCCTTCATCCTATAGCCTTGAAATGATCATTTCCGGTCAAAAGGACTCCAATAAAATAAAACAAAAACAACCAATGGGTCGTGAGGGGAGAAAAATGAAGTCAACAGGAACGCTGGCAGTGATACTGTCACCCCGGCCGAGCGCGTAGCACACGGCTGAATCCTAGGCAGTGCAGCCTCTAAGAACATCGGCTTTGTGCGGAAGTCTCGGCCAGCAGCGCGGACAAACACACAGCGGAATTCTCGGCCAGCAGAGCGGACAGACACACAGCGAAGTCTAGGCCAGAAGGGTGGACAGACACACAGGGGAAGTCTAGGCCAGCAGCGCGGACGGACGCACAGCGCGGCGCCAGCGCAGCGGCGTGACGCGCGGCCGACAGACGGAGCTCACCAGCGCTCCCGCCGACCGCTCGCTCAGAGCTGCCGTCAGCGCGATCACTACCTTACAACCACGTGCTTCGACACGACCGGCCAAAGCTTCACTGGGGGCCCGCGGCCCTGGGACGGCGGGCGGCGGCACGCTCTCACGTGTGACGTCACCGTGACGAGGCAAATCGGCACTGGCCCGAGGCGGCCACTGTGTGAATGTGTGCTGAAGCGCGGCCGGCCGTCGGCGAAGCACGGAGTCATGCTATGTTGCCAAGCGACACGATGAGTTACGCTATATCTAGATGGGATAGACCTTTGGCAACTGATAACAGGCTGTGTCAGGGTAAGCTTTCAGCGCGACCACGCGATACGTTGGTTCAACAGCCGTCGTCCGCGGGGTGTGTCTGTTCCGGGTCCGGTTTTCGCGCGTTTTTATGCATATGGTCCCAAACAGCATGATAAAAGATCATGGAATGCGAAGCATGGGATTCGTTTCCAACCGTATAGCAAAACATGGAAACGCGAAAGCGGACTTGCTGAACTTTTCTGCTGCGTATGCAGACGTGCGAGGTCACGGTGACCCTGGACGGCAGTCAGATCACATCGGCGGGACTGCTCGGCGTTAGTGGCACTCTCAGCGACTCCACACTCGGCGGCGCGGTCGGGCCGGAGACGACAATTTGGAACGTCACGCTCGCTCGGTCCGCGGCGCGCCTCGGGCGCGGAGCCGCATGTAAACACTCGACGGCTCTGGCGGAGAGGCCAGCGGGACGTGGGCACGGAGAAAACCACCAGAAGGCCAGCCCGGCAAGGCACGGCGAGGTACGGCACGACAACAACCAACCATACCACAGAACATACGGGGGCGTGCGGACAAATAATCCCTCCGACGGAGCGCCGTCAGCAGCATGACACTGCCCCCCCCCCCCTCCCCGCCTCAGCCGTCGGTCTCTCGACGTCTCTGACACCGTGGTGCTGATGGCGATGGCGAGTTGCAGCTTACCATGTTGCCACTTAAGGACCTATATAATCTAATTGATTTCAAGAGCCCATAAAGGCCAAGGGGACAACAGCCATTCTTAGAAAAATATGGGTATCTCATCTCATGATCATTGAAAGACTTAACGAGTTTTGTTGACAATCCAGGGTGCTCAATGACAGTGGAATATGGTTTTGCATAGTCACACAATAATATAAAAGGCAACAATTGGGTATTCAATGCATTTTATGCGGGAGTGAAATATGTAAAGGTTATACAATGCTTATAACCTTACTTTACCTTATGGTGATCGAGAATTGTAAACGGCCACTAGGCCTGTGGGCCCCGGTCTCGTCAGGCTCCCGGTCCGGTAAACAAACAGCCTCATATTATGAGAAGATTCAGTGTCGGACGTCGTACATGATGCCAGCCCAGTACATATCAAGCCTAGACTTGAACTGTTCAACTGAGGTCGACGACACGACCGGGTGTGGAAGAGTGTTCCAGTCGTTGACAACCCGAGTGCTGAATGAGTTATGACGGACAAGAGTCCAAGCCCGAGGTTTTCTGAGCTTCCATTGGTGTCCTCTCGCCACCTCCGAGTTGTGCATTGTCGGGAACTCCTCTTCCGACAGTGGCATACCTCCGTAAAACAGCTGGTACACTGTTACCATGTCTCCCCTACGACGACGATAGTACAGCGAGGGCAACTGAAGGAGTCTGAGCCTCTCAGGGTATGGCTGGCGCCTCACTTCATAGACAAGCCGGATAGCTCGTCGCTGAACCCGTTCCAGCCGCTTTTGGTCCAGTTTGCCGAACGGGTCCCAGATAACTCTGCCATACTCTAAGTATGGACGTACTAAGATCTTAAAAAGCAATGGCAACGTGCGAGCATCGATGTTGGCAAAAGACCGCCTCACGACCGTCAGCATCTGGTTGGCCTTGGAGATCGCTTCCGCCGTCTGCACGTGGAACGGGAGCCGGTAATCCACGAAGATCCCGAGGTCTTTCTCGGTGGACTCGACCGCGATCTCGGCGCCGTCCAAGAAGTACGTCAGCCTCGGGTTGCAGTTCCCGATGTGCATTATTTCGCGCTTTGCTGCACTAAAGGGGAGCAGCCACTCCTTTGAGCACTTGACCAGGGCGTCGAGGTCAGCTGCAGAGGTGAGTTAGTCAGGGGCCTCGGGACACGACAGTAGACCTTGGTGTCAACCGCAAACATCTTGACCACGCTTCGCGCTTGTTCTGGCAGATCGTTCACGAAAATTATGAACAGCGTTGATCCAAGTATTGACCCTTGCGGGATGCCGCTGACGACGTCGGTCCAGTTCGACTTCGAGCCCTGGACCCGCACTCTCTGCATCCGGTGAGTGAGAAAAGCCCTGATCCAGCGTAGCAAATTACCTCTCACACCGCAAGCATGAAGCTTGGAGAGCAGACGGTTATGAGGAACGGAATCAACGGCTTTGCTGAAGTCCAGGTACGCCACATCCACCGGCTCTCCATCTTCTACCGCGGCGCTTCAATCCTCCATGACCTTTAACAGCTGGGTGGTCTCGGGACCGCGTAGGGAGAAATCCATGCTGGGCTGCATGAATAAGTCCAAACTCCGAGAAGTGATTAAGTAGGGCATCACAGACGAAAGTTTCGAGTATCTTGGAGGGAAAGGCAGTAAGGCTCACTGGGCGGTAGCTCGCTGGAGACTGTCGGTTACCCTTCTTGAAGATCGGGACTACCTCGCCAAGCTTCCACTCCAGGGGGAGCCTTCCGGATGCCAAAGATCCTCGGAAAAGCATGCTGAGGCGTGCTGCCAGGACATCCGCGGACTCGTGAAGAAGTCTTGGATGGACATCGTCTGGCCCAGGGGCGCTCGAGGTTTTCAGAGCGGCCAATTTCTTTGCCACTGCCTGGTTAGACATGGCCACGTCATCCAATAACAGACCAGTAAAAATGCACGGTAACACAGGCATGGCACTAGTCCCTTCGTCCGCGAAAACACTGACGACGAATCTACGGAGGACATTAGCCTTCCCTTCGTTACTGCTGGTCAACACTCCACCACCACCAAGGTCTTCTATCCTGCATCTTGTGCGTAGTCTAGAGTTGGCGTGCCTCTAAAAGACCTTGGGGTCTCTTTTGAGGTCTGCTACTCATTCAATATCATACTCTTTCCGAAGACTTCCGGCCATCTTCCGAAGGTCATTGCGACAACGCACAAACCTGGCATGGTCCAGAACATCCTGAGTCCGCGTGTATGTTCACCATAGTCTTTCCTCGGTCTTCTTTAGCTGCATGGCCCTTGGGTTCATGCATAAATTCTTTTTAGGTTTAGTCCTCCTGACAAAGCAAACCTCAGTAGCCCCGGCGATTCTTTCCTTGAAGAACTTGTAAGCATCTTCAAGGCTGAGGCTCTCTATCAGGGACCAGTCAATTGACCTGAGGTTGTCAGCCAAATGCTCATGATTTGTGTGTGTCAGCTGGCTGGGACAAGAAGTTTGTAGCCCAAAGTAGCAGACCAAAGTAGACCTGATAACCACATGGTCACTGTAATGTAGCCCTGGCAGGTATTTGATTTGACTCACCACGCCCTCCTCATTTGTGAAAATTAGGTCCAGAACACTAGGAGCTTCACCAACCAGGTAGCGTGTTGGCTGCTGGGCATACTGGAATAAGAAACAGCCCTGAATGGTGTCTATCAGTGAGTGGGTTGGGTGACTCTCTGGAGCTGACAACCACTCTGATGCCCAGTCAATCTGAGGCAAGTTAAAGCTACCTATGACCATCAAGTGAGAAAACTGGGCTCTGCATACTCTCAGAAGGTCTTATATGCTTATGTTTATACTTAATTGCTTATAAGTCATCACTTTTTTGAAAAACAGAGGTAACCCATGGCAGAAACATTGCTGGCAAGAATCTTGTGTTTCTTGTATACATTGTGTGTGTTCTTAACCTGCACACATTAAGTTAGGTGCTTCTCATCAGCTATAATTTTGCAGTCTCATCCCAGCATGGAATGACTATTTATATGGCTGGAGCCTCACATAATGTGCAGGCAGTATGCAGTGGTAAGCACAGCATCACCATGGTGCTCTCAGCATAGACATTGATCAGTGACTGTCCACTAAAATATGTCGAGCCTGAAAAGATATATACCAAAAATCAGACTGTGTTTATGCTTAATTGCTTACAGATGATGTAAAAAACATAGCTAATTAACAGCAAGAAATGTGTGTTGATTGCTAGTTCCACATCTATTCAGTGCAACCCCAACAGAACCAGGTGTTCACCTCAACACAGACCCACCATGGTCAAACAACATGGAGAGGAAATTTTGCAAGGTACTCAAAGGTGTTGTATGCCAAAACACTCAATAAGTTAGTGGTCAAATATGGAAAACATCCCATCACAGACAGACAGACATGGATTATGATGGTTAACTATCATAGATCATGCTGGTAAATTATGTCAGTTATCTTATTGGCATCTGTCCATTCACCTATTAGTGACCTTCTTCTAAAATAGTAACATCAGCTACAGTTCAGCAGTTTAAATCTGGGCCCAATTCAGACTTAGCTGATATCATGCATAACATCCCATAACAAACACTTCCATAGACTGAGACTGATTGGTCACCTGACCAAAAGCATAAAAACATGGGGCAACATGTCAAGCAACTTTTGGATTTCAGATCAGCATAATTCATAAGGTATATGAAAAAAATAGTCAAAGACAAGAAAATTAGTCAGACATTGCAAAATCCACCATGTACATTTATCCACATGTAATTCCACCAAGTATCCATGGATTACCAGCTCCAGTTCCACATGCAGACCCAGGAAGCAATCTGCAAGGCTAACCAGCTACTGGTGGTCATGAGGCAGTCTTTTGCCAATAGATGTTCACAGGTTGCCAATGCTTTTTAAGATCTTAGTACATTCATACTTAGAGTATGGCAACACTATCTGCGGCCTGTTCAGCAAACTGGACCAGAAGTGCGTGGAACAGGTTCAGTGACGAGCTACCCCGCTTGTCTGTGAAGTGAGGCGCCAGCCATACCCTGAGAGGCTCAGACTCCTTCAGTTGCCCTCGCTGTACTATCGCCCTTGTAGGGGAGACATGGTAACAGTGTACCAGCTGTTTCACGGAGGCATGTGGCTGTCGGAAGAGGAGTTCCTGACAAGGCACAACTCGGATGTGAGGAGAGGACACCAATGGAAGCTCAGAAAACCTGGAGCCAGGACCCTCGTCCGTCGTAACTCATTCAGCACGCGGGCTGCCAACGACTGGAACGCTCTTCCACACCCGGCCGTGTCGTCGACCTCAGTTGAACAGTTCAAGTCTAGGCTTGATACGCACTGGGCTGACATCACGTACGACGTCCCACACTGAATCTTCCCATAACTGACTGCTTGGTTACCGGACCGGGAGCCTGCCGAGACCGGGACCTACAGGCCTAGTGGCATTTTACAATTCCCGATCACCGTAAGGTAAGATAAGGTAAGGTATGTATTGTTGTCACCAGCTGGTTGAAAATGGCAGCACGAAATCACAACGGTTAGGACATGGCGTATCCACACATCAGCATCCCAGCTCGCTGCCCGAAGTTGCCTCGTGGCGGGCGTTTTGCGAAAGCGAAAGCCATAAACAGTGCCCGAGGCCCTACCTGGCAAGGTAAAATTGTACCCTTCAATGACGCTTCAGAACGAGCTTTCACGACAACCGATAAAAGGACACGCTTATGCTTACCGACTCCTTCCGCGACACAGCACCGCAGACCCTCGGCGCCTGGCAGCTTGGCTTCTGTTTTGTCGCATGACTTCTCAAGGTCGAATGGTAGCCTATTTTCTGTACTTTGGTGGGAATTTTTATTATAAATGCTGACGTTGAGAAATATCTGCAAACATACTTCTGACTTATAATAGCGGTATATCACCAAGAGCAACAGACAATCTTTGAACTTACCTCACATTTTATTTATTTCTCAAATATTTATTATGGCTGCAACGGTATCTAGAATGGAACGAAAATGGGATGGAACGCTCTCTCGTTGTAAAAGGACCATAGAAATAGCTACCAAATTTACCTACTGCTGAGGCAAATACGAAGCACGAAGCGCATCATGTTTTCATTTTGCAATACGACGATCGCGTACCAGGACCCTCGGGTGTGCTGGGGGACGTGCGCATGGTCCTGTTGCTGTAACTTGCTTAGATAGATAGTCAGTAAGTACGGAAATTTTGTTAATGATTTATGACCAAACATTTTATTTGCGGACAATATTTGCTTCTTCCTCCTAGGCGGCTTAACAGGTACACATGTCTGAAGATCACTTGAAGCAAGAGTGAAGAACTTTTGATTGTTTTGGGTACTTATCAACAAATACATCTGATTTCAGAGGGGACATTTGATGCACCCATGTTCTTGTCATTTTTATTGCCACACTTGATCATAAACAAATTTGTAAAATATTCTTCCATTTCAACCTGAGGAATGTTTCAACCTGAAGAATGATATCGTACGCCACACAGTAATTACAGGGCAAGTATTGAAGGCCCAATTTTGTTGGTACCTCTGCACTCTAAAACCCTCCACCCCTCAGCAATGATAAGTTCTTAAAACAAGTCAAAATTTGGTACCACTTGGCGACCTCCAACTACAGACTTAATAGTAAAGAAGCATTGCAAAAATAGCATGACATCCTTACTTCTACTGAGCTCATCAGAATTATCAGGGTATATCTCGCTTAAAACTGAATGGGGCAGCACAGTACACAAAAATACAGCTAGGGTGTGTTGGTTCTCAATGCACATCACCTCATGAGGTCTAATAGGTCAAATTCTGCCTGTGATAACATTTCACATAATTAAGACCACTTTTAATCCTGATATGCAAAACCTTCACATTTGAAATACCCAGTTCTTCCAGCAAATTTCTGCTCACTGCAACTCAAGGCCCTCAATTTTAAACTTATTTTAGCACAACCACCTTTACTGTGTGACTGCTGAGTTCTGCCTCTAAGAATTTTCTTCTAGGATTTTGTGTCATCTCTCCAGGACTTTCTCATCTCTTTGAATCTGTCCCTAAAATATCCTCTAACTAGAAAACATTGTTCACTTATAACTCACCACTTCTTCATTCTCTCCCCCCAGCCATCATTTACCATATCGCTCCTGATATAGACACCAGTTTCAGATATGACTTATCATTAATCGTAATGTTGCCTAGCACAAGTGATAAATGAAAGGGGTATATACTGATATAAGATTATAGAAATTGTCATCATTCATGTATAATTGCTACAAGTGTTCTGGCATTTTGGAATGCCATCTGGCTGGATTCACACCAATCACACCAGTCATTGCCACTGTGTGCCAGTTGGCACTATAATGCTTGTATGGATTGTATCATATTTGTTGTCTGTGCATGCTGAGGCAAAAGAGGATATATCAATGCACTTGTAGCCTCTTTATGGAGAGACCTATTGAAGGTGTGACTCTCTACAGGTTTGTGTTTGGCAGTGTGGCCATCCCTCCAGGCATGGAGGGGGACAAGGATCATGAGCCTCTAGTCTTTCCCTCTATCAAGGAGGAGAAGGAAGAGGACGAGGATGGCGGCGATGATGCGACGCCAGGTCCGCAGCCAGGCAGCATCCTGTATGAGCTGCTGGTGTTCTGCGAGTGGCACCAGGAGCCGCGGCTGGAGGCGCCCGAGCGGCGGCGGCCGCCAGGCCTGCGCCAGTGGGCGTCCGGCTGGTGGCGCGCAGCCGCCGCTCCGCTGCCCGAGCCGCTGGCCGAGCTGGCGCGGGTGCACCCGGCCTGGCAGCTGAGCCTGGGCGGCGACGGCCGCCTGCTCGCCGTGCTGCAGGAGGAGCGGCTGGAGGTGCGCAGCGCGCGCGATAATTTCACCTCGATCGTGGGCGACGGCGCCGTGCTGGCCGACCCGCGGCCGCAGTGGCGCCGCCTGCGCTGGAGCGGCGGCCGGCCGCTGCTGGCCGTGGCTGCCAGCTCCGGCTGCGTGGACGTGTACGACGCGCTGGCCGCCTCCGTCTGCGTCATCTACCCGGCCGAGTTCGGCCGGCAGCCGGCCGCCGCCGTGGCGGAGCTGGTGTGGGCGCCGCCGCGCGAGCCGCGCTGGGACGCGCTGCTGCTGGTGCTGCTGTACAGCGGACATATCACGGCGTACCACGTCTCCGCCGCCGACGGCTACGAGGAAGCGTTCAACTGCAGGCTCAAGGTGGCTGGATGGGAGTTGCGGGAGGTTGGAAGATTTCTGCTAGCCTTTCGTTAATATCGGGCCTGCTCAGGATTCACTGGAAGGGGCTGTACGTGTATCAATGACTGCATGCTGTGCTTCAGCAAGATCTGCTTGCCTAAAGTAGCCCAGCTTGTACCCTATTTCCCGCACGGGTAAAATTGATGCAGGGAATGAGAAGTAAATCGTTGACTGATCTGCATCACTCCCGTTGATTCACATTGTTTCCGTGATATGTATTTGCTGACAGCCAGTCGAAGCCCTTGGAACTGGGATCAACAGATGTGTATACCATCTATGGTTTTTCCAGCATGGTTCTGTACGCACCTGCCTGCCTTCTTAACAGTGGCCCTCTGCACCAGCTGTACCCGCGCGGCATCACTAGCGCCACCTACGACGAGCAGGGCCAGTTGCTAGTGGTGGCCGGCGAGAGCGGCCAGGTGGGGTGCGAGCGGCTGCAAGGTCTGGGCAGCTGCGAGGGCATCACCTGCTGGCGCTTGCTGGCGGGCTACCCGCACCTACAGGTCTGCCAGTCCGTGCAGGTGGGTGGCAGCCGGCTCTGGGTCCCGGCGAGTGGCGACGGTCGACCCGGCCGCCACCAGGCAGCACCCCCGACCGGTCCCAGGCAGCGCCGTCTCTGGGGCAACATCCCTTCGAGTGGATGATGCGTTTGATGCGTGTGAGCTGCGTTAAAAGACAAACAGTGCAGCTGTTGTTCAGACCTGCCAGAAAATGGAACTATGCTGTGGTGGCCTTCAGTAGGTGTTAAGCTGCCGCCGTGGACAGCATCGCCTTTGTCGGTTTTCTGGAGCAAATCAGGCATGCATCCGATACCCAGGGTGCCGATAATGTAGTGGTTAACGCGTCTGCGCTAGCCGCTGCGCGTCTGGGAAACCGAAGGTACGGGGTTCGCTTCCACGCGATGCCCGCCCTTCCCACCGGGGTGAGAGGCGGGCGACGCCATAGAGCCTCAGCAGCTGAGTGCGTCGTAAAGGCTCAATGATGACGATGATGCAGTACCCATGGACGACCTGCATGGCCATGCACAAGATGGTTCACGAGTCCAATAACAGAATATGACGGCTCTCCTCTGGAGCAGGAGGTATTTTTGTCTTTGTTCTGGATTACTTATCTATCACCGCGCGTCCCATCTGCTCAGGAGGAGGAGGTGCAGCCGTCGCTGTCTTGGCTGCCGTGGCGTCGCGGCCCTTCCGCCTGGGATCCGGTGGTGGCGCTGAGCTTGTGCCCAGCCTCGCGCCGGCTGCTCTCGGCCCACCTCTCGGGCGCCCTCACCGTCTGGGAGTTCCCCTCCTTGCGCAAACAGACGCACTGGCCGCTCGAAGCGCAGCCAGGCCATGACGCCGTCAGCCCCGAGCTTCTGCAACTGCCCACGGGGAGGCGCCAGCAGCGGCTGCGCACGCTCGGCGCCGCCGCCGGCCGGCCGGCCGCCGTCGCCTGGTGGTCGGAGTCGGCTCTGATCCTGGCGCGTCGCAATGGCGCCGTTACCGTCAGCGACGCCGAGACGCTGGCCAACCTGCTGGGCGAGTCTCCCGAGTTCTTCAGCGGCGCGCCGCGCGTCAGCTCGGGGCGCGCCGCCGGCGCCGGCCACGCGTGCCTGGTGCTCGAGTGCGAGCGCCGCTCGGAGCCGGCGCGCCTGCCAGCCGAGAGCGGCCGCCAGCCCTCCGACGACGAGCAGGCCGACGACGAGGGTGACGAGCAGGAGGAGAGCGTGGCCCTGCCGCGCCGCGTGCTGGAGGGGGTCAGGTCAGCTGCGCCGGCGTTTGGGTCAGACGCGGGACGACAGACCTTGGCACGGACCTTCCGGGAAAGCGCGATGACTATTGCCTTTGCACATTCTGGTGTGAGATGTTAACTGCTAAAGTTGTTCCTTGCAACTGCAAGCTTTGGCTTCCGGATGCAGTAACAGTAACAATCGCGTCTAGACTCGATGACACCTGCGCCGTTTGATGCACACTTGATTGCATCTTGCGGCTTGCGATAAATCCTCAATGGACGATATCTGTCATCATCTTCATTTCCTTTGACCTTCCGTCCCTAGAGGGAAAGTCGGGCTTGACCTTGCCTCGCTGACGCCTCCGTTCCTGATGGGCTGCTGTCGGTGCCTGCTGGCAGGTCGGGCCTGTACTGGCTGACGGACTCGGAGCGGTTCGAGGCGGCGCGCCGGCGGCCCCGCCTCACACGCACGCTGTACCGGCTCACCTGCCTGCGCAGCACCACCCCACAGCAGCTGTACGCTCGCAAGATCGAGCTCGGCGAGTACGGCGAGGCGCTCATGCTGGCCGAGGCGTACGGCCTGGACAGCGACCTGGTGAGCTGTCGGCCAGCCGTGCCGTCGGCGTCGCGTGGTGCCGTGGTGTCGCGGTGGTTGTGCGAACCCAGCCGCCCAGCAGTCAAGAGCAAATGTGCACCATGTGATCAGGACAGTCGGCGCGCCCTAAAACGAAAAGCATCATCATGATCATCACGAAGGGCATAGACCACATATTCTTGCATTTTGGTCATGTGCTGCAGTGCTGCTTTTGAGGTGTGGCTCCTATCTGCTTGGATTTCTTCACGTGGTGGGATGCGTTGTTGCGCTCCCTCAGAGTCGTTTCCGTCCAGTGGACGCACGTGTTGTTCGTGGCGCAGTCCAGCAACGACACCCTCAGCTGCAGGCCGCCCCAGCAGCCGTTTTGTTTTACCAGTCCGTGCAGCCCAGGTGGCGGTTTACATCGCGTGGTTTCCACCAGCCCCATCAGGCTGTTGGCCGGGCCGGACTGTCCGTCAGCCCCGCTCTGCCCGCCCCGGCAGGTGTTCCTGAGGCAATGGCAGAAGTCCGACGTGTCGGCCGACACCATCCGCGACTACCTGGGCCGCATCCGACGGCGCGCGCTCGTGCTCACCGAGTGCGTGTCGCGCGTGCCGGCCCGGCTGGAGGCGGCGCGCCTGCTGCTGGAGCACGGCCTGCGCGGCACTGGGCTGGAGGCGATGCGTGCGGCCGCCCAGCCCGCCTGCGACGCCTTCCTGCCGTGTGAAGCCGGCGGGCCGGCGGCGCGGCGCCAGCTGCTGGCGCAGCTGGGCTCCGCCGACCAGCTGGCGCCGGCGCAGCGGCAGCTGGCCGAGTTCCGCAGCCGGCTGCTGGGCTACCAGGAGCGGCTGCGCACTTACGAGAGGATGCTAGGCGGCGCGGAGAAAGCCGAGGAGTGCTACGACGCGGCCGTCTACAGCCGGTTCCGAGACAGGTGGGGTCCGGGCGGGAGATCGGACCGGTGGAGAGTGGTGTGCTGCCGTGGGAGGGGCGGATATTGGTCGGCGAGGAGGGCTTCACTGGAGGCCCGGTGGTATCGCTTTGAGATCAGCACCGTAACCGTTGGATGGAACGCAGGGAGGTCTCTAATCTCGCCGGCGCTCGCTTACCCTGTCGGCCAGACGTAGTCTCGCCCAGGCGGCTGCGTCGCTGGGGAGGCACGTAATGCCTCCCCAGCACGCCGCAGACGCTCGCGCGCTCCAGCAGCCGGCGCCGCTTCCCTGAGTCGCCGCCTGACAGCACCTGCTCCCCCGGCCGACCGCAGGACGGCGCTGGAGGCGGCGCTGGACTTCGCGCGGCGCTCCGACTGGCAGGCGCTCGGCGTGATGCTGACCTACCACGGCCACGAGCTGCTGGAGCACCGGCTGCTGCTGCTCTCCAACGTGCCGGAGACGACGCCGCCGGCGCTGTACGCGCCCTTGCTGCCTGAGGTCAGCCGGCGCGCCGGGAACAGGTCGCCGGTGCTGCCGCCCCCGCCGCCAACGTGATGGGCACGACGCTGGTGACCCCAGCTGCCCGGCGGTCATCAGTGATCCGTGTTTTTTTTTTTGCTCTTAGTTGACGGTAGTGGTCTACTTGAACTGTCGCTCGCCGAGTTCTTGTGGTTGGCAGGAGTGACATTATGTGGGATATGGCACGGCGTGTTCGTCAGCTGATATCAGCAAGCAAGCTCTTCCAGGCCCACTGTGGTGGGGAACGACACCACTGCGCTGTTGTGACATCCACGAACGTCAGCATCAGTCAGTTACGACGCCGGTCCAGTTGTGACCTCGGCCGGTACGGGGCCGCCCCGGCGTCAGGAGCGGTGCTGCCTGCCGCTCCCCTGCGCCAGGAAGCGGCGGGGGGTGGGCGGCCCTCTGGGCGGTCTGGGCCGGCGCTGACCACGCCGTCCGCTGCTGTGTTCAGGTGGACAGCCGGGGCCGCGTGCTGTCGTACGAGACGCTCCGCTGGCAGGAGCCGGACTGGGTGGACAGTCTGCTGCTGGACGACGGCTCGCCCCTGCACAGGTGGGCCGCGGACCGACTGGGGACGGGCCGGAGAGGTGGAGTCTACCGCCCGGGCCATCTACCGGTGGGGCTCGTCATACTTCAGCCATTGACTCGAGTCAATCTTTGCGATGCCGAGCTGCTTCATCGTTCTGTCTCAACTTCCGATGCTGTGTTACGTGTCATGTATTTCATAGAATTAGTGGTATTGAAAGCTCTTAGGTCTCATTTGTATCACCTAGGTCATGCCCGGCCTAGTGTCCGCCGTACGCGGTGACTTGTCGTGACCTGACACCTGTCCGACCTCAGGTCATGCCCGGCCGATTGTCCGCCGTACGCGGTGACTTGTCGTGACCTGACATCCGTCCGACCTCAGGTCATGCCCGGCCGAGTGTCCGCCGTATGCGGTGACTTGTCATGACCCGACACCTCTCCGACCCCAGGTCATGCCCGGCCGAGTGTCCGCCGTACGCGGTGACGTCGTGACCTGACATCTGTCCGACCCCAGGTCATGCCCGGCCGAGTGTCCACCGTACGCGGTGACTCGTCGTGACCCGACGCCGGCCCAGCTGTCTGCCTGGTACGCTGGCCGGGCGCGTGAGATCGTGGCGCGCACCTGCCTGGTGGGCCACGGCCTGGAGCTGGTGCAGCTGGGCCGGGAGCGCAACGTGTCCGACCTGGAGCCGCTGCGCGACGACCTGGACACGCTGGCCACGCTCGTGTATGAGGCCGGCCACCTGGAGGTGCGGCACAACCCAGCAGGGCGCAACTTGTGATCAAAGGCCGGGTAAACGAGGCCAATTAGGGCACCTGAGGGTAGATAGAAGAAAATAGGTTATGTAGTAATGCTCGCTGTTGCAGATAGTTGGGTAAGTTATGCTGTTTCGAATAAGTCAGTTTCCTTTAAAGAAACGTATGTCTGTATCTTGAGATGAGTTGTCCATTCGTCCTCATGGAATTTCAGGCCGTTGGGTGTCGTTCGGCGGCGTTGGCGCGCCCGCTCTCTCTGACGGCGGGCGTGTGCCGTGCGTCGTCAGGTGACGCTCGACTCGTACGCCAAGATGGCGCCTGCGCGCGTCATCGAGCTGATGATGGCCGGCGCCAGCGAGGCGACGTTCGTGGCACAGGTGCGCGGCCGCCTGCTGCCGTACCTGGCGCGTCGCGAGGTGGCCGAGCCGGGCTCCTCGGCCGGCCTCCTGCACGACTACGTGCTGCGCCTGGCCGCCGACGGCCTGGCGCTGCCGGCGCTGCTCGTGCAGCACTCGGCCGCCGGCCAGCCGCGGCCGCTCGTCTCTAACCCCGCCCAGCTGACGGCTCTGGCTCTGGACGCCGTGTACGCGTGCCCGAAGCGCGAGTCGGCGGCAGCTGCGCGGCGGATGGTGGCGGCGCTGCCGCTGCCGCCGGCGGGGCCGTTACGCGAGCGCCGCGACCGGCTTGCGGCGCGGCTGGCGGCTGCTGAGCTTCTGGCGGCGCACGACCAACAGCTGACGCCAGCGGAGCTGGCCGACGTGGCGGCCGACGGCGGCCGCGCGCGCGCCCTGCTGGACCGGCTGAGCCGCGCCGAGCTGCGCCGCCCCGGGCCGCCGGCCGCCCTCGACTGGCGCCGCCTGCTGGACGACATGTTGGAGATGCAGCAGAAGGTGTTCCAGGTGCGTCGGCGGGCTGGGATCGGCCCGAACGGTATCCGGGATGAGGGGCCACTCGGACACGCTCGACATGAGGCGATTCCGTCCGCTCTCGGTGAACGTGCCGGCGGGGTTCGGCACAGGCGCGCGTGGAGCGAAGAGAGCGTCGGGCGTGGTCGGAGCTGGCTGTCCTCTTGCCGTTGGGTCTGAAGTCATGGTGATGCAGGTATCACGGGCGTCACGGCGGGGCGCGATGCCTATCACACTCCGGCCAACAGTGTCCGGCTGTGGTCCGCCAGGCGGGACACATACATGCGTGTTCGTAATGCTTCATGACTGAGCACATCACGTGCAGTCCAGCAGGAATCTCGCGCCGTCGCTCGCTCCACAGTCGGCCTGTCGCCGGCCGTCGGCGCCGCCGGCCGTTGTGTGACGCCGCACCGCCTCCGACCGCAGGTGGTGACGCCGCAGACCGTGCACGAGATATTCGTGCTGTCACTGCTGACGTCGGCGCGGCCGGCGCTGCTCGAGCTGGCCGGCTCGCTGATGTGCACCGACCCGACCGAGCGGCCAGCCGTCACCAACGTGTACCTGCGCAAGGTGTCGTTCGCCAGGTCGGCGGCGCTCGTCTGCACGGCCGCCCGCGAGTACTTCGACGCCGCCGCCAGCCTGGTCGACCCCAGCATGCAGCTGGCGCGCCAGTGTCTGCAGGTCAGCCTGCGCCCTCGCCGCGCCTTCCTCCGCTCCAGAGACGGCTCCACGGCGAAGGGCCGGTGTGACTGTGCATGTGGCTGGGTTTTACTGTGCTGGGCCATGACTGAGTGTGCTGAAGTTCGCGGTGCCAGGTTTTTGGGGCCAGCCGGGTCGCCGTTGACCGGTGCGTCGTAGTGCTCGGGTGCTAGACACCAACGCAAGGCGGGGCGTCGTACGGTTGTGTGTGGGGACGGTCAGGTGAGAGGGCATGTACCGCTGCCCGTCCCCAGCTGATCTCTCGCCGCCTGTCCCCAGTTGATCTCTCGCTGCCCGTCCCCAGCTGATCTGTCGCCGCCCGTCTCCAGCTGATATCTGGGGGTCCGTCTCCAGCTGATCTGTCGCCGTCCGTCTCCAGCTGATCTGTCGCCGCCCGTCCCCAGCTGATCTGTTGCCGCCCGTCTCCAGCTGATCTGTCGCCGCCCGTCCCCAGCTGATATCTGGGGGTCCGTCTCCAGCTGATCTGTCGCCGTCCGTCTCCAGCTGATCTCTCGCCGCCCGTCCCCAGCTGATCTGTCGCAGTCCGTCTCCAGCTGATCTCTCGCCGCCCGTCCCCACTTGGTCTCTTGCCGCACGTCCTCAGCTGATCTGTCGCCGCCCGTCCCCAGTTGGTCTGTCGCCGTCCGTCCCCAGCTGATCTGTCGCAGTCCGTCTCCAGCTGAAATGTCGCCGCCCGTCCCCAGCTGATCTGGTCGCCGCCCGTCCCCAGCTGATCTGTCGCCGTCCGTCTCCAGCTGATCTGTCGCCGTCCGTCCCCAGCTGATCTGGTCGCCGCCCGCCTCCAGCTGATCTGGTCGCCGCCCGCCTCCAGCTGATCTGTCGCCGCCCGTCCCCAGCTGATCTGTCGCCGTCCGTCTCCAGCTGATCTGTCGCCGTCCGTCCTCAGCTGATCTCTCGCCGCCCGTCCCCAGCTGATCTGGTCGCCGCCCGTCCCCAGCTGATCTGTCGCCGTCCGTCCCCAGCTGATTCGGGAGCCGCCAGAGGAGGTTCGCCGCGAGCTGGGCCTGGTTGACAGTCTGGAGCTGCTGGTGGCGTTCGGGGTGTCACTGCTGCCGGTCCAGGTGCGCCTGACGCCCGACAAGCTCACCCTGCTGGAGCGCTGTCTGGACGGCCGGCCGGACGCCTACAGGTGAGACACGACCGCGACAGCCGCTCATCCCCACCAGATGGTAACTCAGGTATCGTGCTCTACCCCTATGCCCGTGTTTGGCGTTCCCCTGCCATGCAGACGATTGGCGTTTGCGCCAAGCTACAACGGAATCTTTGATGTGTATGTTATGAAAATGAACGTGCTGGGTTGATCCGTTGATCTGTCAGCCGTGACGTTTGGTCGCTCGACACGCTGGTGGGAATGTCGTGACGTAATGAAGCGCGGGAGCTCTGAATGTCCACTCGTCCGTCGCTGTTGCCGAGGTACGCTTGTCGGTTGGAGCTGCTCAAGTTTACATAGTGCTGGCGTGGGGTCTGAGGACGCATGGGCGCATGCAAAAAGTTCGCATGCTTAAAGTTCGTAAGTAAATGTACTTGAAGGATAGACATGCGTATGGCAAAAGTGCACACGCAAAAAATCGTAATCAAGTGTTTGTGTGGTATAAAGTACGTGTGCGAAATATTCGTATTGATAAAAGTTCGTCAGAGCAAAGCTTTGTATGAAAAAAGTTCGTATGTATCAAGTACGCGCCCAATTGTTCGTAAGCGATTGTACGTATGCGAAGGCTCAGACAAATAAAGTTGGTTGCAAAAACACGTGCGCAAAAGTTCCTCAGCATTGGTCATGAGGTAGCAGGTTCTTACTGCTATGCGGATGCCTACTACTATAGGTGAACTATCGGTATAGATGTTGTACACTGTCGGCTTTAAGATTTCGCTTGAATTTGTGAGATGAAGTAAGCTATGAAACTCGACCGTGTGATTTTGTGTGTATCCGGCGTTTGTTGTAAGAGTGATAGACCTCGGACAATGTTGGATCGGTTGCAATCAAGACTCCAATCAAAACTGGAGCAGCGGGTGCATCTGTCTCTCTGGACTCCACTTTACTTAGTGAAAGCAACGACGTATCGGGCGTGACGTGCGCATCTGCCCAACCGTATCGGGCGTGGCGTGCGCGTCTGCCTACCGTATCGGGCGTGACGTGCGCGTCTGCCCACCGTATCGGGCGTGACGTGCGCGTCTGCCTGCCGTATCGGGCGTGACGTGCGCGTCTGCCTGCCGTATCGGGCGTGACGTACGCGTCTGCCCACCGTATCGGGCGTGACGGGTGCGCCTGCCCACCGTATCGGGCGTGACGGGTGCGCCTGCCCACCGTATCGGGCGTGATGGGTGCGCCTGCCTACCGTATCGGGCGTGACGTGCGCGTCTGCCCACCGTATCGGGCGTGACGTGCACGTCTGCCCACCGTATCGGGCGTGACGTGCGCGTCTGCCCACCGTATCGGGCGTGACGTGCGCGTCTGCCTGCCGTATCGGGCGTGACGGGTGCGCCTGCCCACCGTATCGGGCGTGACGTGCGCGTCTGCCTACCGTATCGGGCGTGACGTACGCGTCTGCCCACCGTATCGGGCGTGACGGGTGCGCCTGCCCACCGTATCGGGCGTGACGTGCGCGTCTGCCTACCGTATCGGGCGTGACGTACGCGCCTGCCCACCGTATCGGGTGCGACGGGTGCGCCTGCCTACCGTATCGGGCGTGACGTGCGCGTGTCCCCACCGTATCGGGCGTGGCGTGCACGTTTGCCTACCGTATTACACAAGCCAGCTGGCTACCGCGGTCGTCAGCTGGCGTCGGTGGCGCGCTCAGGAGGCGGCGGGCGGCAACGTCGTCAGAGGCGTCATCAGGGTGAGGGATAAAGGGGAACACAGCAAACACGTGGGACGGTCTGCGGCAGGCATGTTTGTTAAGTTTTGATATGCATCCGGTCCTTGCCATTCTCGGCGTATTGTTCACTATTCCCATTAAGTCGGGCTTATTTGCTTGGCGCCCAAGAGCGCGAGTTATAATATTTGACTTGGCCTATGCAAACGTCGTTGTCCACTATCATTCCCTATCCCCGGTCAACGCGATTTGGTGGCCCCCACAGTGGTCACTCGTCAGACGCCTGGCGCCAAGGATCGGGATCGGCGTTCAAACTTGCCTTATAAATCTGCATACTACCTTTGGATGCATGCTTTTTTGAACGAAGTGTATCGCCGACGATCAACATGCTACATTGACATACGAACGTTTGCGTGCGCGCTTTTGTCACACGAACTTCATCCCATACGAGCACTTGCTTACGAACATGTGCGTGCGAGCCTTTTCTATGCCAGCCTTTATCCGCACGAGCATGTTTGTAGAGGTTTTTTGCGACGAACAGTTTGCGCTCTGGAGTCTCGGGACCTATTTGAACTTTTGGCGTTACTGACAGCATGCCCTTTGCACTTAATGCTAGCGAACTGTAGGAACATGAACTTTATCCTGCGAAAAATTGCCGTACCATCTTTTTCTATGCGTTCTTCTGTCTGCAGTGCCTGACGTTGGCATAGTTTGCATTGACATGAACTGCATCCCACGCTTGGGAGGGGGTACGAATGACACTGCCATTCTGCTCGGTCTGTTGTAGTCTGGTCCGTTGATGTTGCGCGATGGGCGACGTGGGGTGTGTTAAGAAGGACTTCCAAAGTTCAGCAGACACCCAGCTGACGCTGCGGTCTTAGCCTGACAGCACAGTCCGGGTCGAGCGGACTGAGCCAGCCCCCGCCCCGCCCCCACCTGATGTGTGTCAGCTCTGGCCTGGTTTGGTGTGTACCTGACCAGGCCGCCCGCCACCAGGTCGGACCAGGACCTGCTGACGCTCAGCCGACTGCTGCACGTGCCCGACGGCTGGCGGCTGCTGCGGCTGATCGCTGAGCGAGCGCTGAAGGCAGCCGACCCGGCCGCGGCCTCTCGCGCTTGCCGACATCTAGTGGTGGGCGAGCACACCTCAGCTTGGGACGTCTGTCAACGGGTGGCGGAGTGTGATGACTACGCGGACATCGACGACAGGTTGGTGGAAGTCGAGAGGTTGACGCAGTGCTCAGGATGATATAGCTCTTTGTTGTTGCTGATGCTGCTACGTAGATGCAATCCTTTATCACAGCACATGCATCGTTGTGAATCTACTTGGCACACTGAATGAGGTCAAGTGCAATCTGTTGATCCCATATATCCCTGAATAAACAGCACCAAGGATATTTACGACTGGTGAGGCCCGCTATTACTCACTGGCGTAGTGTTATCTGCCTATCGGATGAACCTGGCTTAGTTTGATATGTGGTCGATGCCCTTGTTTGACCTAGCTGGGCTCGATCTTTGACGAGTGCTGCGATTAAGCTTTGTGTTTCACACCACCTGTGCCCCACGCTTGCGGACGATACGACGTGCGCCCCAGGTCCGTGACAGCCAGGAAGTGAACGTTATCGTGACGAGAAAGTTGCAAGTAACTATATTAAAGCGCAAAATGATGCAATCTGTGGCAAGGCTGTCTGAACCAACTTAACTTGGCACCATCTGGGTGTGCATGAATGTCCTCTCCACAGTTGGTTGCTCCTTATGTGACCGGCTGACCTGCGCCGGCTGTACACTGACTGTATGCTGACTGTATACTGGCCGTATACGGGCTGTATGCTGGCCGTGCACTGGCTATATGCTGGCTCTATGCTGGTTGTATGCGTTCAGTTTCTTTCGCCGCGGACCGTGCCACTGTCAGCCGGCCGCGTCACGGCCGCTGTCGGGTCGTGGACACCAGCAGCTCTCCCCTTCATGTCGGGCCGGACTGTCAGGAAAATGGTGACCTCTGTCTAACCTTCTGTGATAGCTGTCAATGCTCTCTGGCAGGCTTTGACAGCTGTCACCCTGTCCGACAGTCTGACAGCCTTCACGCCAGCTGCCGGGCGGGTTTGTGACGGTTCCGCCTCGGTGCGGTAGCCTGTGACGGTCGTCACCCGCTGTCGGGCAGGCTGGAGCTGCTGTCGTTCTCGCTGGCGCACTGTCCGGCGGCGCGGCTGGAAGAGGTGCTGCGGTTGCGGCAGCGGCTGCTGGCCGCCCGGCTCTGCCGCCGGCTGCAGCTGCTGGTAGCCGAACATTCGGCGGCCGAGAACGGCCAGGACGCCTCGGCCGAGGACGCGGCCGCCGGTCAGGCGTCACCGGAGACGTCACTGTCGGAAGAGAATGCCGAAGACGGCGAGGAAGGCGCCGTCTCGCCCGGCGGCGGGGACGGTTCCCGCGCGGGGTCGTCGGCTGGGGACGCCGCCTCCCGCGGGGCCTCGCCCGGCACGCGATCGCCAGGCGACGGGGAGGCCTCCCGCGACACGTCGCCGGCCGGGAAGGAGGTGCTCGCGGAGGCGCCGTCGGAGCGGGAGTCGAGCCCGGCACTGGCGCTGTTGCGGAGCACGCGCGGCTTCACCGACCACCTGGTGCGCGCCACAGCCAGCACCACGCGCGCCGTGCTGCAGGCCACCTCGGACACGACGCGGGCGCTGGTTTCGGCGCAGCTGCCGGCCGAGCTGCTGACCTCGGCCGGCAGCGCCACCCGCAGCCTGCTGCGCTCCACTGTGTCCCGGCTGACTCCGGGGCAGCGCGCCGCCGCCGCCGTCGAGCTGGCGCCGGCGAACGCCGACGTGACGCGGGTGGGTGTGCCGGCGTTCACCGCCTCCCTGCTGCCTGGGTGTCACGAGAGTACGCTGTACGCCGACTACCGGTCGTTCGCGGCGCCGCCGCCGCCGCCCGCGCCTCTGCAGACGGCGCTGGCCGGCGCGCGTCTGGACGCGCTGGAGGCGGCCGCGGCGGGTCGGCCGCCGGCGCCACCCGAGCCCGACCTTCTGCTCGAGCTGGTGCCGCGCCTGCTGCCCGAGGACGCACCGCTGGCGCTGGCCTGGGCACTGGCGCTGCCCGAGGCGCCGCTGCGGCGCTGCTGCGAGCGCTGGCCGCAGACGGAGCTGGCGCTGCGGCTGGCGGCCTACTGCTGCGCGCTGCGGCTGGCCGCCGAGCTAGACGGTCGGCCGTCGGACGCCACACTCGAGCGGCCTGAGCAGCTGATCGCCGACGGCCTGCAGTGTCAGGCACCGGCCGCCGCCGGGCTGCGCGCGCTCCTGGAACAGCTGTGCGCCCGTCTGGAGGACGCCCGGCAGGCGCACCAGCTGCAGCGGCTGGACCGCGGTGTCGACGTGGCGCGCTTCGCCGCCGAGCCGGCCTACCAGCGCGACACCATTCTGGGCCTGGCCATGAGTGACGACGACGCGGCGCTGGAGGCGGCCGCCCGGCTGGCGCGTCGGTACGGCGTGTCGGCGCCGGAACTGGCGCGCGCGCAGCTGGTGCACCTGTTCTCGGCGGCCGAACTGTCGGCGGACGAGGTGCGCGAACGCGTGCGCCGACGCCAGCTGATGGCACCGGCCCTGGAGGAACCCGAACTGCTGGCGTGCGCGCTGGCCGAGCGCGCGCTGCCGGCGCTGGCCGGCGCCGACCACGAGCGGCTGCTGCTCTATCACGCGCTGCTGGCGCGCGCCGAGCCTGCGGCGGCGGCGGCCATCAGCGCGCGCGCCACGCTGCTGCAGCTGATCCGCGGCTCAGGCGCCGACTTCCACCGGGTGGTTGCGGCCGGCGCGGACGAGCTGGCCGACCTGCTTCCAACGGCGCTCTCAGCCGAGAACGTCGACGCGCTGGAGGAGCTGGCGCCGCGGCTGGGTAACCCGGCGCTCACCGGCTCGGCCGTGACCGCCGCCTGGCTGGCCACGGCGTTGCCGGGCGCGCCGGGCTCCTGGTCCCAGCGGCTCGAGGCCGAACACGCGCGCTTGGAGCGGCTCGAGCCGGCTGACTTCCGCCGGTGCTCCGCTCGCTTGCTGTTCAGCGACGCCGCGCTGAAGCTGGACTTGGAGGCGCGCCAAGAGATGGCGGGCAGTCTGCGCGAAATGACGGAGGACAGGAAGCCGGAGGAGGCGTGGGCGGAGGTGCGGGAGAGCCTGGACGGCTGGCTGGAGCACCTGGAGTACCTTGAGTGGGACTCGTACACGGAGCTGCTGGAGTCCTCCGACGATGACGTCTACAGGTGAGATGTGCGGCTGCTCAGTGATGCTGACAGGCGCTCAAAGCCCCCAGTGTATCTGTTGTGCTGTGACGCGATGTGTTAGTCCGTCTTACCGGTAATGTGTGACTTCGTGTGGGCTTTCTAGCATATCCTTAGCTTATGTGTTGCGACCACGGGAGCAACTGCATCCCTGAGAAGAATCCTTTAAGGAAAGATGACAAATATTTCCTTGGCAAGCCTAGCCTTACCGCCTGTCTGCTATTTTTAAAAAAATCGGTGGTCATATGCCAACCAATTATTTCGTGTACAGCATTAAGTGTGGTCTCCGGAAACTAGTGTTTGGATGCGTCGTTTTGGATCTGTTGATTGACAGGTCGTTGGTCGACGTCATACTTCGATTCTAAGGACTGGGTTCTAGGATTACAGGCCCTACCGATCGTTTTGCTCCCTGGTCCTCCCTGGTCCTCTTGTCCTGTGGGGGAATTTCCACCACATTGATTGATCCATGGCTCTGTGGTATTTATATTATATATTGATCCATGTCTGTGTGATATTCTATTTATTCAAGATATCAGCAGTGTGCACTAACAGACCTCTCGTAAGACAACAGGCACTCCAACCTACGAACTTGAGGTATGTCACGACCATGGATGGGCGCTTTATTGGAGTACAGGTCGCGATTACTGCCAACAAGGCTGTTCACTCAACCAGCTGCCACGCAGCGACCAAAGCGTTTAAAGCTCCTCGGCTCTAGTCTACATTACAATGCGTCGGAACTCCTTAACTCTGGTCTTCACTGGCGGCCGCCCCAGCCGGGCGGTGCCGTGTCGAGTTGAGGACTCGGCCGCCCCGGGTGCTTGCCGCCGCTGCGTGACGCCTATTGGCACTCGGGCGTCTGCTGCGGCCACGAGCAGGCGTCGTGCTGGCTGTCGAACACCAGGCCGGGGGCGCATTCCATCTCGGTCACGCGCCAGTTGGCGCCCACGTGCTCGCACTCGTAGAAGATGGCCGAGCACTTATTCTGGGGGTCCGGGTTCAGTCCCTCCTTCTGGCAGACGCGCGTGGGCGTGGGGCCCGGTGGCGACGGCGTGGGGCCCGGCGTGGGGCTCGGCGTGGGGCCCGGCGTGGGGCCCGGCGAGGTGGTGGGCTCGGGCGGCGCTGGCGAGGGCGTGGGGATGTCGCCGTTGAGCTCCGTCCACACGGCGTTCAGGAAGGGCAGCGCGGTGCCCAAGCCACAGCGGTTGTGCAGGTCGTCTGTCTCCAACGACCAGACCATGCCGCCCCCCAGCCCCAGCGAACGGATGAGGTCCACCTTGCGCTTGATCGACACCAGGTCGTCGTAGCCGACCCATACGTCGCCCTTGTACATGTAGAGCGACTGCTGCTCGGCGTCCGTGACGCTGGTCCAGCCGCCCTCGCCCAGCATCTGGCAGATCTCGGCGAAGCCGCAGAAGCCTGCGTCACGCGTGTACGGGCAGGCGGGCATCGGCTGACGCGCCGGCGCGTACAGGCCGTGCCGCGTCGGGTCGTCGAGCAGGAAACCGCGGCCGTAGGTGGGCAGGCCCATCGCTAGCTTGCTGGCCGGCACGCCGCCCTGCATGTAGTAGTGAATGGTGAAGTTGACGTTGAGGTCCTCGTAGCCGCCGCCGTGCTTGATGTCCTGCGACGAGCCGTACAGGGGCGCCACGTGGCCAGTGAACGGGTCCCAAGTGCCGTGGTAGTCGTACGCCATCACGTTGATGATGTCGAGGTACTCGGCCAGCTGCAGCATGTTGTAGGCGCCGTCGATGGTGGCTCGCGACTGGCCGACGGCGGCCGTGAGGAGCAGGTCCTGCGGCACGAGCGCGTCGCTCAGCTCGCGCACCAGGTGGCCGAAGTTGTCGCGGTCGGTCGCCTTGCCGCCGCGCTGCGCCGGGTACTCCCAGTCCAGGTCGAGGCCGTCGAAGCCATACTTGCGTAGGAACTCCACGCAGCTAGCGACGAAGATCTTGCGGTGCTCGGGCGAGGCGGTCATCTCCGAGTACTTCTCGGATCCTTCGTTCCAGCCGCCGATGGCCAACAGCGTCTTCAGCTGCGGGTTGCGCTCCTTGAGCGCCGTGAACCGCAGGTAGGCGCCCTTGCCGTAGTTGTCGTACAGGTCGTTCCACGGGTCCAGCGACTTGATGGTGTGCGTGGCGGCGTCCAGGCCGGCGAACGTGTAGATGGCGTGCGTGCACAGCAGCGGGTCGATGTCCTCGACGTCGAATCGGCCGTCTCCCGGCCGGTACACGGCCCAGCTGCCGTAGTAGCAGACCACCTTGAAGGGCGCGCTCTGCGTGTGGACGTTGGTGCCGGCGGCCAGGCCACAGGCGGCCAGCGCCAGCAGCGGCAGTGTGCACAGTCGCATGGCGGCCGCGTCCGGACCGGGAATGGGCGGGTGGCCGGCGCCGCCGCCCGCCTGACCTGTTATCGCGCGTCGTCAGCTGTCCCGGCGGTCCGTCAGGTGGCCGCACCGCCGCACCGCCAGACGGATGGCCGAGAAGGTTAGGGTCAGGGCGGCTTTGTGTGGTTTTAGTAGGGTGCGCCGTCAGGTTTGGGATTGGCGGCCTAGGTAGTCTGCTCAGGTTAGGGTCAGGGCGGCTTTGTGTGGCTTTAGTAGGGTGCGCCGTCAGGTTCGGGAGTGGCGGCCTAGGTAGTCTGCTCAGGTTAGGGTCAGGGCGGCTTTGTGTGGCTTTAGCAGGGTACGCCGTGAGGTTCGGGAGTGGCGGCCTAGGTAGTTTGCGCATTTTAAAGGCTTCTGCAGGCCAAATACAATATGCAATCGCACTGAAATAGAAACGAATTGTGGTAAATCAGTCGGGCGAAGTGCTTAAAATAGGACGACCCTCCCCCCCCCCTCCCCAGCCAACTGGCAATAGCTGACTCATTGACAGGTACCACAAGTAGAGGCATTTGTTTCGTATGACATGTCTCAAGTGACATTTAGAAAATGGGTGCAATTGACATCCCCACCAGGATATTGTAAGCGCCAGGTGACTAATAATTTGGATCGAGGCGGTGTATTCTTGGGAATTTTAACACTCCAGAAAATATGGACCCACCGGATTTCATCCACCATCTTCATCGGTTTCAAGCGAGCTCTCGCCATGCTTCTTTGCGGTTCGTTGTCGCTATACACTGATGCGGAGACTCGGCGCTCCCGCATTTTGAACTGGGGATGGTTGGATGGCCTATGGGACGTGCCTTGACGGGAACTCTAACGCGGCCAGTGGCGCCTCCAATCGGGTGACTGAAAAGAGCATCCCTCTAGCATTTCTGTTTTGTTTTTAACTTATTCGCCGCACGCCGTTCTGCGTTGTGAGTGTGAGGGGCTGTGCTGAGGCAGAGCTCTGCTCCACCCACCCAGCCCTCAGATAGACAAGCGTACTCTCTGTGCACCCAGGTGGGGCCCTCAAGTGTGTGTGATTTCACCAGCCCACTCGTCGCCGTCCGGGACCTGAGCCAATCTTTGGCGGTAAGCTGCGCATAGCTCACTGTGGTCGCTGTTTGAACAGGGATATCGCTGAGTTTGGCGGCGATTAGATTCCTCGCCCCGTGGCCACAGAGGAGCTGGGTTGGCTCCCGGTCCTGTCCATTGCATATATATATATATATATATATATATATATATATATATATATATATATATATATATATATATATGTATATATAGACACACGTTTCGTGTAAACCACTGTGGTATAATACACGCACATATGACACAAATAAAGTGAAAAATATCACACATGCGCATGCAATAACACATGACCAACTCTCAATTCTACAGACGTATTTCATGTTACCATAATTTCTAATGCATGTGATGAAGTCATCTTATTGAGCGCTGGATGTTTTTGAAAAATGTATAAAGGCTAAGATTCTCAAATCAAGCGAGTGATATGTCTTGCCCATTATATTATACTTGAGAAGCCAAAACGGGCGTGTCACCTGCAAATGAATGTTCTCCCAAGGGGAAGGGATCAGGTTTTCTAAGAAATTTTCGAGGTAAGCACACCTAAATAGATGTACTTTTATGCGAGCTGACAAAAGATGCGTTAATTGATCAGTATATATATATATATATATATATATATATATATATATATATATATATATATATCACAGTATTTCGGGAGCAGACTTTCTCTTAAGCAACCGCGACTGTTTCATCGTATCTTTGTTTTCGTTGAGGTTGTTGCTGCTCACCAGCTCAGATGTTTTGGGCTATTATAGTATACAACAAATCTTTGTTTTTTTCCACGATCAGTGGGGGCGCAGTGTTTGAGGACAGTGCCACGCAACACTGTCTCGTCGGTTTTGCAAGATGGCGTCATACTATTATAAAGATAAGTTGAAACAGGTCCATTTAGTTTACTGTTCTCAATGCGCTGCTGGTTACTGTGAAACCCGCAAGGTAAACTGTATTGGCCTGACTGCAGCAAGTCTTACCCGACGTTTAACCACGCACTTGCGGGAGGGGCACCGAAAACACATGCGCGTACATGCTCCGCGTACCCCTCTCACTAGAAATACGTTGG